TGATAAATCTTCTTCCGCAGCAGACAGTGCGGACCAGGACAGAATCAGAGGAAGAGAGCTCACAAATTCCAGTTATCATGTGGGCTGCTGAAGCCTTTGACCTTCCTGAAGGGCAAGAGGGAAAAGTTTCTGTGTGCCTTGTAAACACTGTCAGGCAGGACTAACATCTGTCCGTCCACCGCAGATGAAGAAACTCTCCGAACAGCGAGGCTTTTCCAGGGAGACAAATTTCCACAGTCCAGCTGCTGCTGAGGGCGCTTGGGACTGCATTGGTCAACACAGGCCCACCCTAGTGATGTGTGAGTGTTCATTCTTTAGGATAAATTGAATCACACCCCTCCTGGCTTTGCACTGGGCATGTCCCAGCCTCTGCGTCAGCAGGACCCTGGGGTTACCCATACCAGTAGGCCAGCATGCGGTGCCTGCTCTGCCCTTATGCCTTGGTCCCCCACAGTTCCAGCAGAGTCTGTGTCCTTCTGCATCCCTCACAGCCCGGCAGCGGGGCCCTGGTTTGGATGCTGGCATAGTGAAGAGCTTGATGAGCATCTGTTTACTAGGTGCCGCTTTTACATGGAACATGGTTATTTGGCAGAGCCAAATGCTTTACATTAGGCTACAAATCGAATCAGTTCTCTTGCTTCTTGCCGGTAAGCAGCGGTTCTTGGGGTTTTGAGAGTTGGTTAAACTCTGTGACTGAAAAAACCAGTACCGTGCCACTCAGAGTGCAATATAAGACTATGGGAATGAAGGTATGGGCCCAAGGTCCACGTAGGTCAGCCTGTGCTACCAGCACTGGGGCACTGCTAAGGGAGAGGGCAAGAACAGGCAACAGTTTAGTGAATTGCCCCCAGAACAGCCCTGGCTCCCAGGAATTTGTGGTCCAGGAACATTCCAGGTCAGACACACCGCCTCTGTAGTCGAATCATTATTCTTCTCTTGATTTGTCCAGCCGTTCTGGAACCCATCCACACTTTTGGTGTGCACACATCCTGAGGCAAGGAGCTCTGTAATTTTTCATATTCTTTGTGTGGAGTCTCCATTTCCTTTTTATTTTCAGTGTCCAGTTTATTTTTATTCATTTTGCTTTTAAAAATTATTAATTTAGGAGTTTGGGACAATTTGTCAAAATTTTAGCCTGAGGGGGGAAAGCAACGCGAGTGTGAAATGTCACTGCAATTTTTTGATTCTTCCCCTGTACTTACTTTCTAGCTGTACACGCTTAAAACACTGCCTATACAAATTACCGATGCAAAGCCTTCCAACTTACCGAGATTTTCACCATGCCTGATGCTTTTCTGTAAGACTCGGGTTTCGAACAAGGAGATCTGTGGGTGCCTTTTCCTCGCTTGCGTTCTGTCGCCCGTTGCAACTGGCAAAGCGTTCGCTTGCTATGGGTGCTGAGGAAAAGTTTTAAAACGCAACCTTGTAAAGCCAAAGCCCGGGCTCTGGGGAACCCAGTTCACGACTTTTACAACGCCACGCGCATGATAAATGATAAATAATAACTTATCCCTTGGGAGCAATCCCTCCCTTCCACGCTAAAAACCTCCGCGCTGCGAAGCGCCG